ACCCCAAGTAATATACTCTGATTACATTTATGTTTGCGGCTATTACATTTGTGGAAAAAAAAACCACGTGATATTAAGGATTCTAAGCAATGATGGACGTACGACATATACACAGTAGCGTGAACAAGAGAATGTTATTCATATTATATTATATTATATTGTAAGCACTATGTTGTCACATTTCCATTTGGTTTTAAATCTTACACAAACAAAAAAAAAATTGTTCGACTCGCACATCAAAGATATAGTGGCTGTCTCTGTATATTGCGTATCTGGAAACAAACAATTTAACATCATATAAAACATTCTACCGTGTGAGTGTATGAAAACAAATATTAGCTAGAGAAAACACAATTTGGATTTCTTGGTATGTTCGTGCCCCCAGGATTTCAAATGGTTCACCCCTAATAGTGTTATAATCATATATGAATATCTTGTATAGTCTTGAATTATAGTACCTATCGGTAATATATACATATTGTTAAATAAATGAATATATATAAATATCGCTGGTGTGGCCTTATTTAAGACCGCTCTGTATTACTCATTTAGTACATATCTATGTGATGCATAAAAAGACTGTATTTAGTAATCTGTTTGAGCAGAACGCAGATGAATAAAATTTACAAACGTATGAATACTGACAAGGTAGATTGAATCATAACAAATATATAATGCACTGACACATATGTAAATAATTTTCGTTTTCAAATTGATTAATATACCTATTCGTGTGCGGAACATGTTTACATGGTGTTAATTTCACGTACAATGTGCAGATCATTACAATGACTTGTATTTGAATAATGTTTGTGGTTAGTCAATAAAGACCTGCAACAAGATATTTCCGAATTTTGTTAGATGAAAATTTACACACGAACTACATTTTACGCACCTTTGATTTGAGTTAATCAAACTTAAAACTATTAAAAGTTGCTGTATTTCTCACATGTTTCAAAATTTCATACTAGATATAATTTTAAGCAGATATTTTCGGTCTTTATCTCCACATCGTTATTAGAAGATTGTATACGCTTTCTATAACGTACTGAACCAGTTACCAGATTTAACAAGTCCTCTGTTGCAATCCACTAAAGAGTTCGAAACTACACAGCGCCAGCAGTGGCTGTTCCCGACTCTGTGCGTCAAGCGTCAAAGCGTTAAAATTGTCAATATATTTTACACGCGTTGTATGCACGTCGCTATGGGTCTCATATTATACACGACGCGACGCGATGACTATAGCTATTATTTATTCTCTCATTTATCATTTATCAGTCAGTTGGTTTATGTTTGTGGATTCGTACCGGTAAATTGTTCGGTATATTGCATTGAATACCGTTCTATTTCTATGCACTAAGTTTTTTTTCAAAGTTATACAATAATATAGACAATCCACACAGCAGTCAAACTGAATCAAATAATTGTGCTATAATCTTCCTTCAAGCATACATGCAGATGAACCCTTTTTCTGAGCTATTACATTAGAACGTGGTTTTCTTCCATATATATATTATAAATCTTTGTGCATTAACCTGGTGGTAGATGCAAATGATTATATTATTAAATATTTTTACTAAAATTATTATTAATATAATACACAAAAACGCAATACAATAGGTCAGACGCATCCGGGCATTTCCCGTGGATTATCATTTCAAATATCCACATTTATACTGGTGCATGCTGTAAAAATATAGGTACTATTTAGTGGCATTACCCGTACCAATATCACAGTTTACCAGACAAATGCAGGTGAGTCAGTTATTAGATATCTAGTCTATCCGTTCCTATAGTTATTTAAAGCAATGTATCAGTCAAGCTCAGAGTGGCATACGAATTGAGTTTTGCTCAATATTACAATCCAGGTCTGTAGCAGTCTATGAATTGTTAGATACCTGTATTGTTGTTTCATGATATCACTCATTTTCAAAACAAATTTGGGCAATACTGATAACGTACTACTGAGTAATAGTCAATTTCTTGACCTACATCATGTACATAATATATTTTGAGAACACATGTACATTTGAATGAATAAAGGCGTTAATCTGCAAAATTATTGAATTGACTGCATAGACAATCTCTATGAATAATTACTATCAAAACGAGTTGTATGTCCGTTAACCAACATAATGGCAATGTATGCATCTTTAAACTGATAATAGTTCAAGCACCAAACACTTCTCATTACTACACTTATTCAACAAAACGACAGACATTTTATTATTTGATGTACTGAAATGGTACTTACCTGACAGGATTACGACAGATAACCGCTTACCCAGTTATAGGCATGCATATGCTAATTTTTGTGGGCAGATTTATTTAGCATAATGATCATACAATATTATTGATTGTTAACAAACATGGCAAATATTCGAGTCGTCTTGAATAAAATTCGTTTAAATATTCCTACAATATCATAGGACCGAATTAGAAAAAAAAATTCTCTCTATACTTTAATTGAATTGGTATGTTTCATTGATAGTGGGAAAACTGATTGTTGATAGAAAAGAAGAGGTAAGAATAATATCAGAATTTGAAAGATTCGAGCAGCTGATTAGCCTCGAAACTAAAACTAAATTAAACGCCCAATGGGGTGAAAAAAGATAAGAGCTTATGATCAGGGACATTTAGATACAATGATAATCCGATCACGAGCTAGGTGGGTGGAATACATGGAAAGTATTTTGAGAGCCAAAAAAGAAGACAAAAAATATGTGAATAAAGTAATGACAACCCTTATTAAAATAACAGTAGATGAGGAAATAACTATCGAACTAACAGAAAATAATACTAACCAAAACATTAACAATGGTGAACAATTTAGACACATTTTTAATTTAGAAAAATTAAGTCACTTTCTGATGATGATTCCTGACTACGTGAGAAAAGCATTACTAAACATTAACGTTCGATAGCATTGAGTAATATGGCAAATGTCGGGTAGCGATGGTTTCACGGTTGATTTTTACAATTTTTTTTAGCCAGACATACAACTCTCTATTATCCTATATATCGCTGATGTCATTCACTCGGGGACAAAGGATTATCATTTTACTCACAAAGCCGAACAGACATACGAGATTTCTAATTAATAATGATTATAAAATTGCGGCATCTTGTAGACGATGTTAAAGGAAACATTATCAGTGAATCTCAAGTAGGGTATGTAGATACTTAATATGTATGATATAATACATTTTTCTAAACAATATAATATCCCAGGTTTATTGCTGTAAGTCGACTTTAAAAAAACATTTACAAATTTGGCCTTGGTGAAAATATTATAAATTGAGTTACAAATGCCGAGTAAAATTATGCTTAAATGGGAATAAATTTTAATCGAATCAGATATTGAATGACATTTAATATTTCCTACGTCATTCAGAATAACAAGAGAAATATGGACCGGAAACAATAGAACATTTATTTTGTGAATGTGATTTTATTAGAATGTTTTGGTTACATTTTAGGCTTTAGTGATATAAAAACTACATTAAACGATATATTATTGGGTATTATAAACACTTGGAAGTGATAGGTATTTTGATCTTGCTCTGTAAATTGCACATTTATTACTCTGAAAAATTATTAACATATATTTAAATATAAATACATCCAATATTCAAATGTAACTACCAGACAGACATCGCCATTTCTAATTTTGAAGTTGACTACAGCGTAATACAAAGGTTGGAATATACTAGGTTCAACTAACACGTATTACCCGTTGTTTTAAATTATGTATCAGTATAAGGACTCAATATATTGTTTTTTTCATTTTTCTGTTCAACTCATTTTCTGTTTTGTATTTGTCCTCTATAAATAAAGAAATAAATAATTAACTAAAATTATTATTTATTCCTTAATTCATTGCATTTTCTATTTAATTTTATTTATCAACTACGTATTTAAATAGATTTCAAACCCATATGTTGAAAACTCTGACAATAATTCCCTTCATTTATTAATTGTTTTATTTATTCAATTAAACATGTTATTTATTGCTTTATTTGTGTACACTTGTAATATTGAACTTGTGATATATTTATTATTTCAGCTCTCTGGTCACCATTACCTTTGTTGAAATATATTAAAGCGGGGGAGTCGTCACCTGCGCATGCGTCAGATGGTCATGGCGTGTCATTGTTTATAAACAAGCATCTATCCATGAGCCTTTGCGCTTTTAGCGTGTGTTGTTATCGTCGCTTGGGATTCAATTCCCGCGCGTGCGCAGTGACGACCCACCCGCTTTAATATCCGTCAACAGTTCCAGCGCGATATACGTCATTTGCAAACATACATCTCAGAACAAACCAGGACTTGTAACATTAGTAGCAGGGGTTGAATTATAATACTGATTACATGGTATTCTATAGATTACAAAAACGCCACATCAAATCTCGCGTCAAATTGTTTATAACTTAAATATAGCTAATTTTGCTTACTATTTTAAAATATGTTTGTCTGAAGAAATTGTGTTTGTGGTTTGAAAACTGATTGACAAGCACCAAAACATCTTTAGGATATTTATCACAACATCCTGGATGAAACTTTTTTTGAAGTGAAGCAGTAAAAATACTTAACTACCATATAGCTATCTACCTTCCATTTCATTTGACACCGTGGGAAATAAGGTGTTTCCTGTGGGGTTGGCAGTTGAATGTACCACAAGACCACCTCCTTGGTGCAGACTCAAGACCTTTGTTAAAGGAGGTGCACTCAGATACATCAGAAGTTCTAGCTTTCAGAGGAGTGAAATTCCAGCTCACTCATAAGATCCTGTTTCGAAAAGGCAATGTTGATGGGAGTCAAAAGAACACAGACCCTGTGCCCCACCACAAGCAGGAAGTAGTCACACAACTCACGAGATCAATAGATAGGAATTTCCTCATTATCCAAGTGATTCTCAGGAAATGGACACAGAAATTCTCTGAGTTGGTGGATTATACAGAGGAAAGGGTATAATCAAAGAAAAGACAAATGTTCACTTGATGTCGAAATCTGGGCTGTGTCATTTTTCCTCTTCCATTTGCAGTACCATTTCTTATGTTGTATTGGGCTTCTTCTACGCATTCAAACAGTGCTGATCTGCCTAGCAGTCCCATCATCTGAACCAAGACTACACAAGCTCAATTGCCAAACCATGTTGTAAAAAGTGTGACACCAAATGCATTACTTCAGTATATAGGTTATTTTCACTAGATTTACAGTTGATTGCTTCAACATTTTGTACAGTATATTATATGTCGTGGTTTAGGTGAACTGTGAGGTTCAAAAACCTATTTTGCTTTAAAATCTGATTTTTGTTGGTGATTATGAGTAGACCTCATTTTCTTTATATAGATTTTGTCCTTTAGAACACATTTTCATTACTTTAAATTTGAGAATAACATTTGTTCAAACTCTAAACACAAGTCAGTCCCAAATTATATATTGAATTTCAAAATCTCTATTTCATCAGTCAGTGATTTTTTTTTAGCCGGCAGGATTAACCAAATAGTTTATGTCACTGTCTTCAGTTCCCTTTCTTTTGAGTCTTTTTTGATTTTGTTGGCAGAACATGCCTGCATAGGAGCTGACCTTACAGGAGGACCACACGATTTTAAATAGTCTTTCAAAGCCTTGTATGTATTAAACCTTAGCCTTGTCATGTAATTCTTTGTTTAAACTCTAATTCTCGATCTGGTTCGCTTTGGACAACATGGTGGACTGGCTGATTGTGTCACTATTTGGAGTACCCTAATAAGCATATACTTTATAAGCTGATGTTCAAATATATACTTTGAACCTTATAAAACTATTATAAACATATGTTTCTCGTCTCAAGCATCTAATTATATAGGCACATCCAAGTCAATGTACCAAGGTGGATGCAGTTCTATCTGGGATCAATGGCTCTGTTGTCTCAAATCCCCTTTCAAACGTAGCTGGTTGGCTTTCTAAACAAAAATGGGCATTGATACTTACTGCTGTACACTTGCTCCTAAATGCCTGTCTCTACGAGGGGAGCTAACACAACATTTATATTGACACTTGGCCATCGATGACCCCTCATGCACACCAACAATTTCATGCACAGCTTATCATGTGCACTGTATGCACCATGTGTGCTGCAAGTGCCCCAATGAGTTAAGTAAAACTTTTGGTCAACATCTTGATTTAGATTTGATTGTGTGTCATGAATTTGTTTTTGCGTATCTGTTGGTCGACTTAATTAACTGATTATTAGCGAATTGCTGTGTTATGTCTGTCATCGTTTAGGTCTATTTGAAGTTTTGGACGGAACTTGGCTCAGTGATTTGGAACAAATTACGAGATATCCGTCGCGATTCTGACAGTTGGTATTCATAGTTATTAATGTAGTGAACGATTAATCAAAAGATATGACGTATTCAGTACTTAGTGTGATTGGCTTTATGATTGAAGGTTACGCCCTAGAGTCTTTTACTGTTTTGTAATTGGTTAGAGTTTTGAAAATGAATAAAGAGAGTTTGAGTTGGTCTTGGGGAGCACAGCACGATAAACGCAGTAGCGACAGAGCAGTCCTGGAGAGCCCAGGGGCGAGCCTTGAGGCAGTCCAGTCTTGGGCTAGTCTTGGGTCAGCCTTGCGAGAGTCTTGGGGACTTTTCCCCAGGGCGTTGTGTCTTATAGAGTGCTCCAAAAGATCGAATAAGACGAGAGCTGAAACGTATTTCGTTGTGTGTGTCTTATTTGACTGTAAAATTAAAGTGATTTTCCCGATCCCGTACCTCAAGGGGACGAGATAGAGAGACGAGACGAGTTTCCCCCCCCCTGGCACGTGTGGAGAACCCAGAGAGAAGAGATTTACCCCTGACACGCACATACTTTTTTCTAAGTGACGACAGTTGGGGCTTTTGGAGCTGATTGTGGCAATCGCGATGAATATTCTTCTTTTGTGAAGCATCGGGTTTGTTCATTTTTGTCTTTATTGTTTAGCTGTTTCGTTTTCACTTTGCTTCCGGCATTGAGGCAAATGCTGCTACATTACCGGCCTTGTCTTGTAATGTTGTTTTAGAAAATTACTCAAAACATGTCGCTGATGCGGGTAATATCTGTATTGGCCATTAGAAGGGGAGCAAGGGGGGTAGCTGGTACAGTTTACAGGAAATAAAAACGGCATTTTACAGGAAATTAAATGAAAGTTTCACTTACAGTGAAAAATAGGTTTTTACACTACAGATGAAGCAAATTCCTAATTACATTTTACATTTGTATAATATTTTTGATAATTTGAGTTTAAGAATCAAAATTGGAAATTGTGTACGAATTAAGACAGTTAATTTGGAAAATGCTTTAAAGGCTTACCAAAAATAATATCTTTGTACAAATTACGGACGAATAAAATAGCTGAATACATTTTACACCTTGCCCATGTCTACGAATTTACGTTTTTTATTTATTTTATTATTACGATCCTCCTATTAGTATACTAGCACAACGTATTGTAATTGACAAATTTCCAATTTAATTATACAAAGTAATCACATTGCCACAACTTACATATTGCATTTAATTATGGAATAATGCTAGTAGAAAACAGTCACAACCAATTTATTTATTTATATTTTTCTCCGAATTTCAGTGTATGCATATAATCCTACATAATACACTCACTGTGCTACTTTGGTCAATATAATCAGAACGACAGGGTACTCACTGCTTTTTCAAAATGAGTCAGTGACGACGTCAATGCTTCGCCGTTTGTGGTCGAGCCTATGACTTCAGTGCACCTCGTCCGACTATTTGAGTCTTAACACGTCCATTTCATTGATGAGTGTGTACAAATCTCATGCCATTCAAGACAGTTGGCATCAATTTCTTAGTATCTTGGTCGTTTCGGTTCAAAGTGAATACATTTATGTAGGAAACTCAAACTTAAAATGCAACATTTCATCAGGGTTCTTTGATGCGACAAAGTACCGCACACTAAAACATCCCATTGCCGATAAAGACACCAGTTAAAGGGCGGTAGTCGTCGCGCCACGAATGCACAAGATATATGGTCCTCATATAAACAAAGATGGCGACTTTGACTGTTGCGCAGATCAACGAGTACAAACTGAGATTTTACCACGATTTAATTTTCAGGTAATTGGAATGTATCGAAGAAGTCACCAGCGGTAATTAGTGCAAGTCGTGCCCAGGTCAAACCTCATACTTGTGATTTCTATTAGAAATATGATTGAGGGTAAAATCAATGTTTATCAACACAAATGTCGCTCATGCGCAGCGCGACGACTACCGCCCTTTAATGATATTTTACTAAAACAACCAAACGAGGATGTAAGGTGTTTTATCTATCTATCTCAGCACATCTACAGTAATTGATTTACTGCGAAACTGTAACATCCGCCAGTTGACAAATATGGGCATATATTTTATTAATTATTCAAGTGGGTGACCTTTGGCACTGACATCATGTCTCACAGGATTGGGTGTTTTTGAAAGGATGGAGGCCGAATTATGCAAATTTTTAGTGGGCGGAACAGGAATCGTACAGTAAATATACTGGTACAGTAAATATACTTCGGTAGCGAAAAAACAGACCGAGGAAGCTGGGGTATAAATATGCCTGTGGACTCTGATGTTATCGAGGTTGAATATTGGCATTCTAATTTTTACACTATTGATTCAATGTATTCACATCGTATACAATTCATAGTAAACACATATATTTACTTTTGCAGCTACGTTGAGCGTACGGTTGACTATCGAACGCAAAGATGACAGACAGCGACTCGCTGGAGGAGATGCGTTTAGTGAATAACATACAACCGATATATTCATACACCGAAATTGGGGAGGAAGATGATGTTCAATTCGACTTGTCAGAGATGCAGCATCGCGACAAAATGGCGATTCCAAAACACGACGGTAAAACGAGGACGACTGAACAATTGAAGGATTTGCACGAAAATGAAGTTAATATCCCCAAAGCTTACGAGACAGCGCTTTCTGAAGCTGGTTTTGGACGTTACCAGATTCAGTTATTTTTTGTATTAGGTTTAGGGATAATGGCGGACGGTGTAGAAGTGTTTCTAATGGGATACGTCTTGTCAAGTGCTGACCGAGAACTATGTTTAAGTGACTGGGAGAAAGGATGGTTAAGTGAGTACACCTAGACTTGATAATTAAACCTCGGAAAACTCGAACAAAACTTGATGTTTATGTTCTTGATAAATATCACGCGGTCATGCAATTAACGCATAGTTACGTGGAAGCTATAACTGATGTTAAAAAAACAAGATAAACAAATAAATAACCGAATATCAACAAACGCATAGCGACTCATTTTGATACATGATCAAATCGGTGTGAGAACGGTATGCAGGACTATTATTTGTGTTTCGAAAAGAACAAATGGCGTTCTAAAAAAATCAAATGATTTTCGAATAAGGTCATACCGAAATATATGCCTCATAGTTTGGGGGAGAGTGGATGGAAAATTGATAGTGGTACATATGCATTTTTACCTACCATCAACATGGCAGAGAGGATTATTCTGGGAAGAAAATGAGAGTCAGTTTAGTCAGAGTATTTAATCGTTATAGTACATTCATCTCTCATGCCCTGGAACGGGGACTACTAGTCTGGGTTCTGTAGTAAAATATAATGTAACTTTTTTGTAAATGTTATCAACATTATTTTGGGTTGAGTATATATAGGCGGTGTTTGTTTCAGGTTCAGCTGAGGAGTATGGAATCCACAGTTGGTAAAGTTTCAAAATTTAGCAAAACAAACTCTGATGGATTTTAATGAAACCAGCTGTAAATTCGTAACTATGTTGAAATCACTTTAATTATGACTATACAACCATGATTTTGGGTGATGGTTAATATACTGTGAGCGAGTCATCAACTCGCTGACGTAACTGATCACGTGTGCCAGAATGTAATGTAGGTTCAATGTAATTTTCATACAACAACCACAGTCCCTCTGTGCTACAACTAATCTCAATGATGCAAATAATACATGTCAAATCTTTAGCATCGTTTTTTTTACTTTGCAGGTGGCATGGTCTTTGTTGGTATGTTAATTGGTGCTCTAACTTGGGGATATGTTTCTGATAGAATTGGTAGACGACATACCTTGATAATTTGCCTTTCTGTCAATGCAATTTTCGCATTTAGCTCGGCATTCGTTCAAACGTTTGTGCAATTCCTTGTATTTCGATTTGGGGCTGGGATTGGGTAAGTGTTATCCTGCAAATTTCAATGGGTCTTTGTAAATAGGGTAGACGAAAACAAAATAGGACCAAATTCTGTATTTGTAGACGTGGTCCTAAGCGACTGCAAAATTCAAAGCGGGATGGTTGCCACCTGCGCACGCGCGTGAGTCCCAAGCGACGATAACAACACACGCTAAAAACGCAAAGGCTCATGGGTGACGCTTGTTTGTGAACAATGACACGCTATGGTCATCTGACGCATGCGACTCCCCCCGTTTTATTACTTTTACCAAAACCAAAAATTTATTTGTCAGGTAAAATGTAAAAAAATAAATATTTATTGGACTTTATTCTATATAGTCCCCAATCAACACTAGTGCAACGTAATTGGTATAAATATATTAGAAATATAAATTCAAGCAGCAATGGTTAGATACTTATTCTATTACGGGGTGACGTAAATACAAGAACATTTAGAGAAGTGACTGTCTTGTTTAACATTCTACACATGTATAGTTGACAGTGTTCAACTAATATAACAATTTCCTATTTAATATTCCATGTTTTCGTCTTACTCAGTGTCGGCGGGTCGATTCCTGTGGCGTATTCTTATTATGGTGAATTTACACCCAGAGAGCATCGCGCCTCCCACCTGAGCTGGCTCAACATTTTCTATGGTATTGCGGGCGTGTTTGCTGCAGCGATGGGATTGGCAATCATCCCCACTAACGGTATGGTTGATCCCATGCAATTATCACACATATAACATAAATTTCATTGAACGCATAAAGTACAAATACCATTGCAAAATAAAAACATATAATATTATCGCAAAGTATACTATACACAATATGGTATATCATGCTATCGCCATACTTGTCTGCTCATCTCTAAAATCACCACAGAACCATACTATGAAGAGCGATTCAGCACATGGCGAATATTTATACTGGTATGCGCCATCCCATGCATCCTCGCAGTGGTACTATTGTTAGGTTTTATGTCTGAAAGTCCCAGGTTCCTTGTCAGGGTAAGACTACTATATCTCTTATGAGTAGTTATGTATATATTTAGTGTACACTTGTTGAATAGCACAACACTATTTTGTGCTCATCTGGTATTCAAGTATTGGTCGCTTTGTATTTGTTATTTTGTTTAAAGCGGGAGGAGTCGTCACCTGCGCATGCATGTCGATGTTTACGTCTACCCATGAGCATTTGCGTTTTTAGCATGTGTTGTTATCGTCGCTTGGGATTCCCGCGCGTGCGCAGGTGACGACCTATCCGCTTTAAAATGTAAAAAATAGATATCGTACAACACATATTGTCTTTTTTACTGACAGGCCGGTAAATGTACCGAGGCTACTGACGTGTTGGCAGAAGTTTACAAACAAAACCACGGATCGTCTGGAGTTAACATGTATGAAGAGAGGGTAAGCGTACACAAGCAATTGATGCATGATACATTGTGTAGTTTCAAGGTTTTGAATTTTTTACAGGAATGAATTTTTACCGCGGCAAAGCGTTTCTTTTATATAAAAATTACGTATATAAATGAAAAGTTTCGTGCAAAATTTGTATTTACCATGGGTTCTTGAAACTGTCTAAGCGACGACATTGCAAGCGTTTCGTCGCGCGACAAAAGTTTCTTTAGTTTATCTTTAATCCGGAAAATTAAACTAAGTTATGACAGATGCAAATTCAGAAGCATGCGTTTATATAAAGTTTCACTTAGAATAGACCATTTTCCGTTCATTGCGAGATCTTGCGTTAGGCGTGAAATCGAACGTGAAAACGAAACAAACGTCATTTTCGATCAAGCAAAGGTACCCCAATGCAATAGCCCCCTCTCAAAATTTGGCATTTCGACATTGAGGTTATAAAAAAATCAATTTCAAAATCAATTTTCGTGGCAGACTTTCGGCCCTCGCCTTTCACGCTATACGCGAGATCTCGCAATGAACGGAAAATCAGCACTTACCATCATTGATAACTAATGAATAGTTATTTTCTGTTACAGACCGCTGACAATTTCAAATATTCAAATAAGATCACTTGTGACGAATCTGGTGTGAATGCAAAAGAATTGCTGACGCCGTATGGAAAATGCGGTGAGGTGAGTTTCGTTAAGAGTCTTTGTACCTTTAAATATTGTTTAGTATTTATGTTCGATATTCAATGCATGGCATCGTGAACTGAAGACATTGATCCAGAGGTACAGGGTATCTAATGAAATAATGAACCGCATGTGAGCGCCTGCACTTTGAATTCATTGGGAAGAAATCTTCTAACAGATTGATAGGAGTCAGGGAGAGAAAGCTAGTTGTAAATTTAAAAAAAAAACATATATTCCGCTCAACTTATAGATATTTGACTCGTTTATTGGTTTATTTCAACAACCACTAGTGGTCATAACGTTTCTACTAATGACGGGTTGGTTTTCCTCATCATATGGGTAAGTAGTGATATTCCCTTAATTTATTGTTTTGTCCCTAACACAGACAGACAGACAACAGACGTACCATGCATATAGGTACATTGCACGGAAACCGGTACAGTAATGTTATTCAATGTGAATAATTAAATCAATTCTTGATATCTGACGATTTGCTGCTACTTTTAAAGTATTATGTATACACTGTTTGTTAAAAGCATACACTTACAGCATGTGCAGTATGGACAGTGGCGGCGGCACGGGGAGGGGGGCGTGCGGTCGCCCCCAAATCAAGCTGAAACCTTTTGTGCTCTTCAAAATGCAGGAAGGGTCTAGAGGATCTAGATTTCCGATTTCGCCCCTCGTGCCTCTGATATTTTATTGTACCTAACCGACGCTTTTATTTGTTGTTATTATTTTAGTTTCTATGGACTGACGTTATGGTTTCCTGAATACATTAAAAGGATTCAGATAGCCGAGTATTTTAGCAATACAGAGACCACACGCAAGGAATCATTCGCCGACATGGCGTTCACAGACGATATCACAAACAGAATGTTCTATAACGTCACATTTCAAAACGTCACATTCGAAAATTTGCATATGGAAAATGCAAATTTCCACGGCAGTGAATTCATCGATGTAGTGTTTCAGGATGTGACGTCAGCGGGAACGTATTTCTACAACTGCGACTTTCATAGTACCATATTCAACAGCACAAATTTCTATGACAACAGATTTATAAATGCGACAATGAACCAAACTTTGTTTATGAACACTAGAGGTGGCTGTGAGCTGGATTTTAGTCTATCGTACAACGCTTCAAGGGTGTACTTGGAGATATTGATTGCAATGTTAGGAGGAATCCCCGGGGTTGTTATTTCAGCGCTACTTATGGATAAAATAGGCCCGAAGATAATTTGCAGTAAGTGTCTCTGAGCCACTAAATATAGCTTCATTATTCACACAAAAGTAGTGCTAAAAGTATTTCAGTTTTCAAAGGTTAAACAATTCTTTTCGAAATACAACCAGACTTTAAGCTGGGAGGTATACCCCCCCCCCCCTAATTTCAGGACGCTCGTTGCACTGGATACAATACGAAGATATTTTTCATTAATGAATACTAGCATTTCGTTTGCTGGGAATTCTACGCATAAACTATAACATATGTGACTTGTATTCTACACAACGTCCCCGTTACACACTGTATGGAAAATACATTCAAATACAGCATTATTTGTTTGAAATGTTCATATAGTTCTTGTAAACATAATAATTATTTTGCTGAACCTATATTTTACACTTTTCTGGTGTAAACCCAACATGGTAAATTACTTGAACCGCGGACATGTAGACAATTGATTGTGGTGCAACATCGCGTGCTCTTTACTTACTGGAATGTCTTAGAATAGACCATTTTCCGTTCATTGCGAGAATCACGCGTTATGCGTGAAATCGAACGTAAAAACAGGACAAACAAAGGTCATAGCGTCGTATCGCGTCAAACATCGCGTGGGATTCGACAAACGCGAAAGTATTTCGGGGACATTTCCATGCTTAATAATGTGCTGTCCACATTTGATGATAGGCAATTTCGATTAAGTAAGGGTATTCGGAAGCAATATTCCTCTGTCGAAGATCGGCCGGTCAATGTAAGCTGCGAAATAAAGAAATTCTAGTTCAAAATCAAATCGTTCGATTTTTGCGGCAGACGTTCGACGCGCGTCTTTCATGCATCTCGCGAGATCTCGCAATTGTACGGAAAATCACCTATTGACAATATTCGTACTAATTTAGTATAAATATAATATATTACAGTAAGGGACATTGCCTGAATGTTGATGAATCAGTGGCTTGGTTGGCAAGTTCCCGGACGGTAACTATGCGGGACTGTATAAAAAATAATTCATTTCATTTGAGATCGATTTTTGTCAAAAAGGATTTTGAATGAGAATACAATATAATTATAAAGTGCAGCCCTATTAGATTGCAAAACTGTAAATGCTCCATTGATGCGCTGCATTACACCAAGTCTTATCAGACTGTTGCACGTGAAAACAAATCTAGTTAGCGCCAGTGTAGCCAACTTAACCAAATCTACAATCTGACATGGCGAATTTGGCTAGAATTTAAACTTCAAGACTAGTTTCCCAATAATGCAGCTCCATATGCTTCTTCACATGTGCTGTATTGTATTGTATTGTATTGTATTGTATTGTATTGTATTGTATTGTATTGTATTGTATTGTATTGTATTGTATTGTATTGTATTGTATTCCAGTTGACGACACTTACCGCTAACCAAAATACAACGGGAGCAGATACATCTGTGTTACAATTTAATTGTTTAAATCTGTTGTATTAAACAAACACGTGAATAACATAAAATGTTTACGGACGATATCATGTTCAAAGCAGAATCATTAATATTCACAATACACTTATTTGTTTTAATTTCAGTGTCGTCTGCAGGCTTTTCTGCAGTTAGTGTATTCTTCATTTGGTTTATCAATACTGAGATTTCGGCTGCTGTTATGCTCTCTGCCGTGCAGTGTTTTGGT